GACAACCAGAGACAACTAAAGACAACCAGAGACAACTGAAGACAACCAGAGACAACTAAAGACAACCAGAGACAACTAAAGACAACCAGAGACAACTGAAGACAACCAGAGACAACTAAAGACAACAAGAGACAACTAACGACAACCAGAGACAACTGAAGACAACCAGAGACAACTGAAGACAACCAGAGACAACTGAAGACAACCAGAGACAACTAAAGACAACCAGAGACAACTGAAGACAACAGAGACAATTGGAGACAACTAAAGACAACCAGAGACAACTAAAGACAACCAGAGACAACTAGAGACAACTAAAGACAACCAGAGACAACTGGAGACAAGCAGAGACAACCAGAGACAACTACAGACAACCAGAGACAACTGGAGATAAATAGAGACAACTGAAGACAAGCAGAGACAACTAGAGACAACCAGAGACAACTAAAGACAACCAGAGACAACTAAAGACAACCAGAGACAACTGAAGACAACCAGAGACAACTAAAGACAACCAGACAACTAAAGACAACCAGAGACAACTGAAGACAACCAGAGACAACTAAAGACAACAAGAGACAACTAACGACAACCAGAGACAACTGAAGACAACCAGAGACAACTGAAGACAACCAGAGACAACTGAAGACAACCAGAGACAATTGGAGACAACTAAAGACAACCAGAGACAACTAAAGACAACCAGAGACAACTGAAGACAACCAGAGACAACTAAAGACAACCAGAGACAACTGAAGACAACCAGAGACAATTGGAGACAACTAAAGACAACCAGAACTAGAGACAACTAAAGACAACCAGAGAAAACTGAAGACAACCAGACAACTAAAGACAACTAAAGACAACCAGAGACAACTAAAGACAACCAGAGACAAATGGAGACAACTAAAGACAACCAGAGACAACTAAAGACAACCAGAGACAACTAACGACAACCAGAGACAACTGAAGACAACCAGACAACTAACGACAACCAGAGACTGAAGACAACCAGAGACAACTGAAAGACAACCAGAGACAACTAAAGACAACTAAAGACAACCAGAGACAACTAAAGACAACCAGAGACAACTGGAGACAAATAGAGACAATTGGAGACAACTAAAGACAACCAGAGACAACTAAAGACAACCAGAGACAACTAGAGACAACTAAAGACAACCAGAGACAACTGAAGACAACCAGAGACAATTGGAGACAACTAAAGACAACCAGAGACAACTGAAGACAACCAGAGACAACTAAAGACAACCAGAGACAACTGAAGACAACCAGAGACAATTGGAGACAACTAAAGACAACCAGAGACAACTAAAGACAACCAGAGACAACTAGAGACAACTAAAGACAACCAGAGACAACTGGAGACAAGCAGAGACAACCAGAGACAACTACAGACAACCAGAGACAACTGGAGATAAATAGAGAAACTGAAGACAACAGAGACAACTAGAGACAACCAGAGACAACTAAAGACAACCAGAGACAACTAAGACAACCAGAGACAACTAAAGACAACCAGACAACTAAAGACAACCAGAGACAACTAAACAACCAGAGACAACTGAAGACAACCAGAGACAACTGAAGACAACCAGAGACAACTGAAGACAACCAGAGACAATTGGAGACAACTAAAGACAACCAGAGACAACTGAAGACAACCAGAGACAACTAAAGACAACCAGAGACAACTGAAGACAACCAGAGACAACTGGAGATAAATAGAGACAACTGAAGACAAGCAGAGACAACTAGAGACAACCAGAGACAACTAAAGACAACCAGAGACAACTAAAGACAACCAGAGACAACTAAAGACAACCAGAGACAACTAAAGACAACCAGAGACAACTGAAGACAACCAGAGACAACTGAAGACAACCAGAGACAACTGAAGACAACCAGAGACAATTGGAGACAAAAGACAACCAGAGACAACTGAAGACAACCAGAGACAACTAAAGACAACCAGAGACAACTGAAGACAACCAGAGACAATTGGAGACAACTAAAGACAACCAGAGACAACTGAAGACAACCAGAGACAACTAAAGACAACCAGAGACAACTAACGACAACCAGAGACAACTGAAGACAACCAGAGACAACTAAAGACAACCAAAGACAACTGAAGACAACCAGAGACAATTGGAGACAACTAAAGACAACCAGAGACAACTGAAGACAACCAGAGACAACTAAAGACAACCAGAGACAACTGAAGACAACCAGAGACAATTGGAGACAACTAAAGACAACCAGAGACAACTAGAGACAACTAAAGACAACCAGAGAAAACTGAAGACAACCAGAGACAACTAGAGACAACTAAAGACAACCAGAGACAACTAAAGACAACTAAAGACAACCAGAGACAAATGGAGACAACTAAAGACAACCAGAGACAACTAAGACAACCAGAGACAATTGGAGACAACTAAAGACAACCAGAGACAACTAAAGACAACCAGAGACAACTGAAGACAACCAGAGACAACTAACGACAACCAGAGACAACTGAAGACAACCAGAGACAACTGAAGACAACCAGAGACAACTAAAGACAACCAGAGACAACTAGAGACAACTAAAGACAACCAGAGACAACTGAAGACAACCAGAGACAATTGGAGACAACTAAAGACAACCAGAGACAACTGAAGACAACCAGAGACAACTAGAGACAACTAGAGACAACCAGAGACAACTAAAGACAACTAGAGACAACTAGAGACAACTAGAGACAACCAGAGACAACTAAAGACAACCAGAGACAACTAAAGACAACCAGAGACAACTGAAGACAACCAGAGACAACTAAAGACAACCAGAGACAACTGAAGACAACCAGAGACAACTGGAGACAAATAGAGACAATTGGAGACAACTAAAGACAACCAGAGACAACTAAAGACAACCAGAGACAACTAAAGACAACCAGAGACAACTGAAGACAACCAGAGACAATTGGAGACAACTAAAGACAACCAGACAACTGAAGACAACCAGAGACAACTAAAGACAACCAGAGACAACTGAAACAACCAGACAACTAGAGACAACTAGAGACAACCAGAGACAACTAAAGACAACTAGAGACAACTAGAGACAACTAGAGACAACCAGAGACAACTAAAGACAACCAGAGACAACTAAAGACAACCAGAGACAACTGAAGACAACCAGAGACAACTGAAGACAACCAGAGACAATTGGAGACAACTAAAGACAACCAGAGACAACTAAAGACAACCAGAGACAACTGAAGACAACCAGAGACAACCAGAGACAACTAAAGACAACCAGAGACAACTGAAGACAACCAGAGACAATTGGAGACAACTAAAGACAACTAGAGACAACTAAAGACAACCAGAGAAAACTGAAGACAACCAGAGACAACTAGAGACAACCAGACAACTAAAGACAACCAGAGACAACTAAAGACAACCAGAGACAACTAGAGACAACCAGAGACAACTAAAGACAACCACAAAACACTAAAGACAACCAGAGACAACTAAAGACAACCAGAGACAATTGGAGACAACTAAAGACAACCAGAGACAACTAAAGACAACCAGAGACAACTAGACAACCAGAGAAAACTGAAGACAACCAGAGACAACTAGAGACAACCAGAGACAACTAAAGACAACCAGAGACAACTAAAGACAACCAGAGACAACTAGAGACAACCAGACAACCAGAGACAAGCAGAGACAACTGAAGACAACCAAAGACAACTGGAGACAAGCAGAGACAACTAGAGACAACCAGAGACAACTAAAGACAACCAGAGACAACTGGAGATAAATAGAGACAACTGAAGACAAGCAGAGACAACTAAAGACAACTAAAGACAACCAGAGACAACTGGAGACAAATAGAGACAACTGGAGACAACTGAAGACAACCAGAGACAACTGGAGACAAATAGAGACAACTGAAGACAACAAGAGACAACTGGAGACAACTAAAGACAACAAGAGACAACTGGAGACAAGCAGAGACAACTGAAGACAACCAGAGACAACTGGAGACAACTAAAGACAACTAGAGACAACTAAAGACAACCAGAGAAAACTGAAGACAACCAGAGACAACTAGAGACAACCAGAGACAACTAAAGACAACCAGAGACAACTAAAGACAACCAGAGACAACTAGAGACAACCAGAGACAACTAAAGACAACCACAAAACACTAAAGACAACCAGAGACAACTAAAGACAACCAGAGACAATTGGAGACAACTAAAGACAACCAGAGACAACTAAAGACAACCAGAGACAACTAGAGACAACCAGAGAAAACTGAAGACAACCAGAGACAACTAGAGACAACCAGAGACAACTAAAGACAACCAGAGACAACTAAAGACAACCAGAGACAACTAGAGACCAAGACAGAGACACCAGAGACAAGCAGACAAACTGAAGACAACCAAAGACAACTGGAGACAAGCAGAGACAACTAGAGACAACCAGAGACAACTACAGACAACCAGAGACAACTGGAGATAAATAGAGACAACTGAAGACAAGCAGAGACAACTAGAGACAACCAGAGACAACTAAAGACAACCAGAGACAACTGGAGACAAATAGAGACAACTGGAGACAACTGAAGACAACCAGAGACAACTAGAGACAACTGAAGACAACAAGAGACAACTGGAGACAACTGAAGACAACAAGAGACAACTGGAGACAAGCAGAGACAACTGAAGACAACCAGAGACAACTGGAGACAAGCAGAGACAACTGAAGACAACCAGAGACAACTGGAGACAACTGAAGACAACCAGAGACAACTGGAGACAAATAGAGACAAGCAGACCATGAGTCCCAACAGAAGGTAGTGTCAGGAAAGACCAGGGAATAGAAAGATGAGACAGGAGACACAGAGGGACAATCATCGTGAAGATGACCCGTCAAGAGGCGAGTCCATGTCCATCGTGAAGACACTAGGACCTGATAGTGAGCGGACATGGCTGAGTGGCGCGGCTTTGGGTGGAGGGTCCGTCGGCCGTCCAGGCTCGCGCCTCCCATCCGTTGGCGTCTGGACATATGGGCAGACGGCCGCCACTCGGCTGGAGACGGCGGCGCCGGGTCGTGGGGTCGTCCGGGGGGAGGACGGTCCCTCATTCCGGCTCAGCTGGAGGGGAGACGGGCGTCAGAGAGGACGGTGGGACAAGAAGCGGTACGGGACGAGATCGGTACCTCTGCTCTCTTCCTGTGGAGACGGTCCCTCAGCTCTCCAATCCGACGGTCCATGGCCGCCACCTGACCCGTCCGCTTGGACAGCAGCTCCTGGTTCTGGGCCAGCCGGCCACTCTGCTCCAGGTTCTGATGGTTCCGGGCCTGAAACACAGCCGGGACCAGTACCAGTTCCTCTACATGAGTAACATGTGTGTGTGGCAGTCGTCGTCTTGCAACCGGAAGGTTGTAGGTTCGATTGCATCTTCCTCCTGCCACATGTCGATGTGCCTGTGGGCAAGGCACTACTGGTCTGCGTATGGCTGTGTGAATGTTTGTGAGTGTGACTCCAGTTTAAAGCGCTTTGAGTGGCCAAAATGACCGGAAAAGCTCGAGAAGTTCAGTCCATTTAACAAATTCCAGGCCAACAGCCTTCAATCGACCTCTAGGTCAATTCCCTGACCTTCACTTTGAAACACATTTCAGAATCATGAAATGTTCAAATGGATTTTATTCTGAAGAACCATCGCGACTCCCTTCTGTCTGGTAACAGCAGGTGTTGCATGTTTATTCATTTTAGACAGTTTTAATCCAGCAGGGCCTCCTACTGGTTCCCAGTACCCATCAGCCCCTGGGCTCACCTGCAGCTCCTGGTGGAGCTTCCTCAGCTCCACGCCAGCAGAGCCGGATAACAAGAAGCCCTTCTGGGTGGTGGGGGCCGTAGGGGACCCGGAGGTGTCCGCCAGCCTCTGGGCGTCGTTCTGCAGCTGGAGGCGTCCCCTCCTCAGGTCCTCCAACTGCTGGGTCAGCTGAACACCAGGAGGAAGACGAGAGGATGATGAAGAGGAAGAAAAGGCTAAAATGCATCAAAGCAGCAGCAGCTGTTTGATTCTAATGGAACAATTCATGCTGTTACAGCGCCCCCCACCCTCCATGACCACAGCACCACCTACCTGCTCCACCCTGCTGACGGCGGCCTGCAGCTCGTCCTGCTTCTCCTGGAACAAGCTGCTCACATGGTGGATCTCTGTGGCTGCAGACAGAAGCAGTAGAGCTCAGAGTGACGAAGGGCCGGCTGATGATCGTTCCTGTTTGTCTTACTGAGGTTCCCGTTGATCAGCCTGCTGTAATCCACCTGGCCTCTCATGGCGCGGATCTTCTTCAGCTTCGCCTCCTGGCTCTCCACCCGCTCCTTGAGGCGCTGCAGCTGCTCCGCCTCCATCTGCAGAGACACAAACAGCTGGAGAACATCTGGGGAAACGTGGGGAACCTGGGAACATCTAGGGGAACGTCTGGGGAACCTGTGGGGAATGTGAAGTAGATTTTTCTTTAAAGAGAAAATCTTTTATTTGCATCATACAGTATCATAGTCAAGATGTTTTTTTGTAGGGAACATGTAGGGAACATGTAGGGAACATGTGGGGAACATGTAGGGAACATGTAGGGAACACGTGGGGAACACGTGGGGAACATGTAGGGAACAAGTAGGGAACATGTAGGGAACATGTGGGGAACATGTGGGGAACATGTAGGGAACATGTAGGGAACATGTGGGGAACATGTAGGGAACATGTAGGGAACATGTGGGGAACATGTAGGGAACATGTAAGGAAAACACGTGGGGAACACGTAGGGAACAAGTAGGGAACATGTGGGGAACATGTAGGGAACATGTGGGGAACATGTAGGGAACATGTGGGGAACATGTAGGGAACATGTAGGGAACATGTCGGGAACATGTAGGGAACATGTAGGGAACATGTGGGAACATGTAGGGAACATGTAGGGAACACGTGGGGAACACGTAGGGAACATGTAGGGAACATGTGGGGAACATGTGGGGAACATGTAGGGAACATGTAGGGAACATGTAGGGAACATGTGGGGAACATGTAGGGAACATGTGGGGAACATGTAGGGAACATGTAGGGAACATGTGGGGAACATGTGGGGAACATGTAGGGAACATGTAGGGAACATGTGGGGAACATGTGGGGAACATGTGGGGAACATGTGGGGAACATGTAGGGAACATGTGGGGAACGTGTTGGCCTACCTGTGAGTGTCCTGTGTTGGTTCTGCTGCCCTGCTGAAGGAACCACAGCCGTTGCTCCTAGAACAGTGGAGAGTCATGAAGGTAACACTGGTCCGGTTGTGGTTCTGGTTCCTCAGAGCTCCATAACACTACACTGAACAGTATTTACTGTGAGTCTGTTCTATGGTACAGGAAATTAAATCTCACTATATTTTATTTTAGATATTCCAAAATAAAAACAAATCTCTGGTCAAACTTTTTCACATTAAACTCCAACAATCTACACACAGAAGACAAGCATTTTTATTTCTCTATCGAATTGAAATGACTTGATTTCTGTAACTGCCACGTGGACAGGCCAGATACTGCCACCTGCAGGTGGGAGGAAGCATCACTTCAAACTGAGGCTTTTCAACATTTATTCAGAAAATTCATAAAATTGTTGCTATTACCTTTGCCATCAGCATTTGCTGCTGCGCCTCGATCTGCTGCTGCTGCCTGGTGGCCATTTCCTGGAGCTCAGAGAGGGTCAGCTCCACCTGCGGGACCTTCGCACACACGCACACACACACACACACACACACACACACACACACACACACACACACACACACAACACATAGGTTAAAGGTTCTCCTCCAGCTGAAGCACCTGTTACTCTTTACTTCCCTCTAGTGGTGAAGCATAGACATGCTAACCCCTCAGCTCTGATGTTTTTCATTTTTCCCATCAGCCTCCACAATTTTAGGATGAAGGCCATTTTTCAAGATGGCCGACACACGTGAACCTCTTAAAACATGTTTTGCCTTAAGATGTTACCTGAACCCAACTTTATAAAATGTGGCAGAATCAGAACCTGAGGATTGCTGCTAGCAAGTCATCATGGTTAGCTTTAGCTTCTGGCATTTTCCTTTTAGGTCAGGGATGGGCACTCTGGGTCCTCGAGGTTTTCTCCACTTTTAGACACATCTCTACTTCAACACACCTGAGTCAAATAATGAGGTCATTAGCAGGACTCTGCAGAACTTGACTGCATTTAGGAGCTGACTCAGCGATTTGATTCAGGTGTGTTGGACCAGGAAGACGTCCAAGAGCTACAGGACAGCGGCCCTCGAGGACCAGGACTGCCCACCTGTTTTAGGTATTGTTAAGATTTAAGAGGAATATCTTCATTTTGCTCGTCAATTTCCTCCGTGTCTCAGGTTCTTGAGTCTCTGCGTGCGCAGGGGAAAGAACAATCATACGACATCAGATACATCTAGAGCTTTATCCAGAGAATTCAATGCATTCAGAATGTCACATCAGCATCACACCCAGATTATCATAAAGTCCAACACATGACAAACAGAATTACCTGCAACGAGTTGAAAAGAAACAACAGAAATGCATTTCTGGGAATTGCTGACTCGGGCAAAAGCAATTTGATCTTCTGCTGTGAAACGAAGCTTTTTATAAGACTGTATTCCCTTCATCTGAATATATGCATAGAAGGTGTGTTCTTCTCCCTGTGGGGCTGTCCCAATATTAATTTTATTATCCTTTAGACCTGCTGTACCAGCCCTTTTACATTCCAGATGAAAATGTCTGACCTGCAGCTCGACGCGATGGCTCTCTGTCTCAGTAACTCCACAAGAAACTCATTTGTATTTTAAACAAACTGGCACAAAAATCTGATGCTAAATAATAACTATAAGTTTGGATCTCAGAACTAAAGTGTTGTTTCTATTTTAAGAAAAGATCTTTTAAAATACCTGAAATATTTTTAGGAGTAAAAATAGTTTCCTGCTTCTATTGTATTTCAGTAATATAAAATGCATGCAAATAAAAATAACTAATTCAAAACATGCTGTTTAATGCTTAAGGAAATCTCTTAATACATTTTATGATACTTTGGAAAAGGATTTTAAAGTTTTAATGTTGTGCTGAACTTTTGAACAGAGACTTTATTGTCCTGACAGCAGACAGACAGTCTGAGAACATTCCTTAGAATGTATGCAAGTTCTCAGAGTCACCAGTTGTTTCAGTTTGGATCTTTATCTAAGTTTACTCCAGAACCTCCAGAACCTCTACAAACACCAGAACCTCCAGAACCTCCAGAACCTCTACAAACACCAGAACCTCCAGAACCTCTACAAACACCAGAACCGCCAGAACCTCTACAAACACCAGAACCCCCAGAACCTCCAGAACCTCTACAAACACCAGAACCTCCAGAACCTCTACAAACACCAGAACCTCCAGAACCTCTACAAACACCAGAACCTCCAGAACCACCAGAACCTCTACAAACACCAGAACCTCCAGAACCACCAGAACCTCTACAAACACCAGAACCTCCAGAACCTCCAGAACCTCTACAAACACCAGAACCTCCAGAACCTCTACAAACACCAGAACCTCCAGAACCACCAGAACCTCTACAAACACCAGAACCTCCAGAACCACCAGAACCTCTACAAACACCAGAACCTCTTGAACCTCTACAAACACCAGAACCGCCAGAACCTCTACAAACACCAGAACCTCTTGAACCTCTACAAACACCAGAACCGCCAGAACCTCTACAAACACCAGAACCTCCAGAACCTCTACAAACACCAGAACCTCCAGAACCTCTACAAACACCAGAACCTCCAGAACCTCTACAAACACCAGAACCGCCAGAACCTCTACAAACACCAGAACCGCCAGAACCTCCAGAACCTCTACAAACACCAGAACCTCCAGAACCTCTACAAACACCAGAACCTCCAGAACCTCTACAAACACCAGAACCTCCAGAACCACCAGAACCTCTACAAACACCAGAACCTCTTGAACCTCTACAAACACCAGAACCCCCAGAACCACCAGAACCCCCAGAACCACAACCTCTACAAACACCAGAACCCCCAGAACCTCCAGAACCTCTACAAACACCAGAACCCCCAGAACCTCCAGAACCTCTACAAACACCAGAACCTCCAGAACCTCTACAAACACCAGAACCTCCAGAACCTCTACAAACACCAGAACCTCCAGAACCTCTACAAACCACCAGAACCCCCAGAACCTCTACAAACACCAGAACCGCCAGAACCTCTACAAACACCAGAACCGCCAGAACCTCTACAAACACCAGAACCCCAGAACCTCCAGAACCTCTACAAACACCAGAACCTCCAGAACCTCTACAAACACCAGAACCCCCAGAACCTCCAGAACCTCTACAAACACCAGAACCTCAGAACCTCTACAAACACCAGAACCTCCAGAACCTCTACAAACACCAGAACCCGCCAACCTCTACAAACACCAGAACCCCAGAACCTCCAGAACCTCTACAACACCAGAACCTCCAGAACCTCTACAAACACCAGAACCTCCAGAACCTCTACAAACACCAGAACCTCCAGAACCACCAGAACCTCTACAAACACCAGAACCTCCAGAACCTCTACAAACACCAGAACCCCCAGAACCACCAGAACCTCTACAAACACCAGAACCGCCAGAACCTCTACAAACACCAGAACCCCCAGAACCTCCAGAACCTCTACAAACACCAGAACCTCCAGAACCTCTACAAACACCAGAACCTCCAGAACCTCTACAAACACCAGAACCTCCAGAACCTCTACAAACACCAGAACCTCCAGAACCACCAGAACCTCCAGAACCTCTACAAACACCAGAACCTCCAGAACCTCTACAAACACCAGAACCTCCAGAACCTCTACAAACACCAGAACCTCCAGAACCTCTACAAACACCAGAACCTCCAGAACCTCTACAAACACCAGAACCGCCAGAACCTCTACAAACACCAGAACCCCCAAACCTCCAGAAACCTCTACAAACACAGAACCTCCAGAACTCTACAAACACCAGAACCTCCAGAACCTCTACAAACACCAGAACCGCCAGAACCTCTACAAACACCAGAACTCCAGAACCTCTACAAACCAGAACCTCCAGAACCTCTACAAACACCAGAACCTCCAGAACCACCAGAACCTCTACAAACACCAGAACCTCCAGAACCTCTACAAACACCAGAACCTCCAGAACCTCTACAAACACCAGAACCTCCAGAACCTTTACAAACACCAGAACCTCCAGAACCTCTACAAACACCAGAACCTCCAGAACCTCTTGAACCTCCAGAACCTCTACAAACACCAGAACCTCCAGAACCTCTACAAACACCAGAACCTCCAGAACCACCAGAACCTCCAGAACCTCTACAAACACCAGAACCTTCAGAACCTCTACAAACACCAGAACCTCCAGAACCTCCAGAACCTCTACAAACACCAGAACCTCTGAACCTCTACAAACACCAGAACCTCCAGAACCACCAGAACCTCCAGAACCTCTACAAACACCAGAACCGCCAGAACCTCTACAAACACCAGAACCCCCAGAACCTCCAGAACCTCTACAAACACCAGAACCTCCAGAACCTCTTGAACCACCAGAACCTCTACAAACACCAGAACCTCCAGAACCTCTACAAACACCAGAACCTTCAGAACCTCTACAAACACCAGAACCTCCAGAACCTCCAGAACCTCTACAAACACCAGAACCTCTTGAACCTCTACAAACACCAGAACCTCCAGAACCACCAGAACCTCCAGAACCTCTACAAACACCAGAACCGCCAGAACCTCTACAAACACCAGAACCTCCAGAACCTCCAGAACCTCTACAAACGCCAGAACCTCCAGAACCTCTACAAACACCAGAACCTTCAGAACCTCTACAAACACCAGAACCTCCAGAACCTCTACAAACACCAGAACCTTCAGAACCTCTACAAACACCAGAACCTCCAGAACCTCTACAAACACCAGAACCTCCAGAACCTCTTGAACCTCCAGAACCTCTACAAACACCAGAACCTCCAGAACCTCTTGAACCTCCAGAACCTCTACAAACACCAGAACCACCAGAACCTCCAGAACCTCTATCTATCAATCATTAAAATGTTATTTGTATAGCACATTTCAGCAGCAAGGCATTTCAAAGTGCTTTACATCATGAACACAAAGTCATGCATCATATAATAAACAATACATGTTACATATTACATTTCTAATAAAAATCTAAACATGTGTGTTTAGTTGAGATTTAAAGGAAGTCAGGGTTTCTGCTGTTTTACAGTTTTCTGGAAGTTTGTTCCAAAGTTTTGGTGCATAGATGCTGAAAGCTGCTTCTCCTCTCTTGGTTCTGGTTCTGGGGAGCAGAGCAGAACCAGAACCAGAACCTGAGAGTCTGAGTTGATACAACAACAGCAGATCTTTGATGTATTGTGATGCTAAACCGTTCAGTGATTTATAAACTAACAACAGTATTTTAAAATCTATTCTTTGAGCTACAGGGAGCCAGTGGAGGGACTTTAAAACTGCTGTTATGTCTCTATCTTCCTGGTTTTAGTGAGAACAGGAGCAGCAGCTTCTGGATCAGCTGCAGCTGGAGGATTGATTTGTTGGACAGGCCTGTGAAGACGCTGTTACATAATCAATGTGACTAAAGATAAACACATGGATGAGTTTCTCTAGATCTGGCTGAGACATTAGTCCTCTAATCCTGGAGATGTTCTTCAGGTGATAGAAGGCCGACTTTGTAACTGTCTTTATGTGGCTCGCAAGGTTCAAGTCTGAGTCCATCACTACTCCCAGGTTTCGGGCTGATCTTTAATTTTTAGTTGTAATAACTGAAGCTGTGCATTGACTCTAGATCTATAGCTCTAGATCTATAGCTCTAGATCTATAGCTCTAGATCGTTCCTCTTTAGGTCCAAAAATAATGACTCTAGAACCTCTAGAAACACTAGAACCTCTACAACGTCCAGAACCTCTAGAAACACCAGAACCACTGTGTCTGGTTCTGCTGGGCTCCTCAAAGTTTGGCCAGAGTAGTCAATATGTTGCGAAGTTCAGCAGAACCCTGCTGGTTCCGCCGGCCCGGTCAGGCCCGACTGCGGTACCTGCAGGCTGTCCCAGGTGATCCTGCAGGAGCGGACTTTGATCTTGCTGCATTGTCCTTCCACCGTGAACTCCTGCACCAGGTCCACTTCGTTCCACTCCATGGTCCCGGCCGGGCCGGTCCGGCAGGGGAAACCGGACCAGATCAGAACCTTGCCTGGTGTTGATGTTGAGCTCAGGTCTACCTCAGATACAGTCTTCTTGGCGAGTTCTGCTGTGGGAACCGGGTCAGAACCAGCATGTTCTGTTTCTCTCCTCGTCCTGCAGCAGCTCTTTGCTGCGACACCTCCCCTCCCTCCCCCGTCTCTCGCCCGGCTCCTCTCTCTCTCTCTCTACTGCAGCAGAGCTGGCTTAGCTCCGCCCCCTCCAGATGTGCCTGATGAGGAAGATGATGCTGGCAGAGCGAAGAGCAGAGGGAACGTCCTGCCGGCTGCGTCACGCTGCAGGACAGACGACCCAGTCCCATGTTCTGCTGGTCCGGATGTGACAGAGAAATGGTGGAAGATAGTCTGGACTGGATCGGAACCGGATCGGGAGTTTAGCCCGGCTCTGGGTCCAGAATAATCTGGTTGTTGTTGCAGATGAACTGAATCTTTTGGTCTGAACAGTTCTTTTTCATGTTCATGTAAATACGCTTAACCACTAACCACTAGCCGCTGACTGCTGCTAACCACTAGCTGCTAATCACTCGTCACTAACTGCTAACCATTAGCCGCTAACCACTAGCTGCTAACTGCTAGCCTCTCTACACTAATCTGCTCTGTTAATAAAAAGTCTGGTTCTGGTTCTGCTGAGCCCAGGCTGGCCTGGTTCTGGTGTGGTCTGGTTCAGGTCGGGTCAGACACTGACATCATCCTCCTGCTTCCTGTGAGGCCCCGCCCCTTCACACCTGAAATGTTTTAACGGGACGTTGTCTCTTTAAGAGACAACGTCCAGGTAAACACTCTCATGGTGTCGCCATGGAGACGAATGTCTTGCATGTCCAACAGACCTGTCCTCTTCCTGGCCTGATCCCAGGCTACAGGTCAAAGGTCAAAACTTCTTCATTCCAGGATGCTGGTTCTGTTCAACCAATAAACCATCAGAACTCACCTGCAGCGGCCCGGTTCTGCTGCTGGCACTCGGTTCTGGTACCTGGAGAGACGAAGACTCTGAAAGGTGAGAGGAAGAGGAGGAAGAGGAGGAGCTTTCAGACAATCCTCTTAGCCTGGTTATGTCATGGACCAGGATAATCCTGCCTTCACTGACCGACCCGACCGGATCAGAACCGGGTCATCACTGCAGCAGCCAAGGTTCAACATGGAGGAGGAAGAGGAGGAAGAGGAGCTGGCTGTTTCTACTGACTGACTCAGAGAACAGACCATCCTCAGCAGTCCGGTCCGGTCTGGCCCAGTCCAGACCCGGTTTGATCAAAACCACTTAGTGCTGGAGCCGTATAATGACGACTGTCACTAATCCAGGATTACACACACACACACTTGAGACTGTCTTATGCACTTATTTTTAGGTTCTGATCTGCCTTTTGTCCAGACTCTGCTGGTTCTGACCGAGTCCGATTCAACTCTAGAACTAACTTGTGGCATGTTGTGGTGGCTTAGTGGTCCAGCAAAACCCTCGTATGGAGGCTTCAGTCCTCGATGCGGGAGTCGCCGGTTCGACTCCCGGCAACATTCGCCGCATGTCGTCCGCTCTCTCCTGCCAAAACATACGGGCGTCTAGAACTAACTCACAACTTACTTTAACTAGATCATCTAAACATGACGATCGGGTTCTGATCATCCTCTGGTTCTACCTGCATATGTTACGGTTCTGATTCTGGCCTGCTGGGTTCTAATGGAGCTGCAGGCTGGTGTCAGAGCAAACGGATCCAGAACCATCAGGAGGTTCTGTTGTGTTTGCAGTGTTCTGGCAGTTGGTGGTTCTGGAGCAGAGAACACAGCCCACTCACCTCATCACTCTCTGCTGCCACTGAGGTCCGGTTCTGATCCAAGGCCATCGGGCTTCCTGTAGAAAAAGTTATCCACACTCAAAGGAATGAGGGCCAGATGAGCAATGTGACCTGACAGTACTGACCCTGGTGCCGACCCGACCACCCCGCCCAGAACCCGGAACGGGCTGATGTTTCCAAAACCTCAACCTCCAGTTCTCTAACAGGTGAGTTTGGTGTTGCAGTGCTTCCTGGTGGCCACAGGTGGTGGTGTTGCAGTTCTACCTTGTGGCCACAGGGGGCGGTGTTGCACTGCTACCTGGTGGCCACAGGGGGCGGTGTTGCAGTGCTGCAGTGCTACCTGGTGACCACAGGTGGTGGTGTTGCAGTGCTACCTGGTGGCCACAGGGGGCGGTGTTGCAGTGCTACCTGGTGGCCACAGGGGGCGGTGTTGCAGTGCTGCAGTGCTACCTGGTGGCCACAGGGGGTGGTGTTGCAGTGCTACCTGGTGGCCACAGGGGGCGGTGTTGCAGTGCTACCTGGTGGCCACAGGGGGCGGTGTTGCAGTTCTACCTGGTGACCACAAGGGGCAATGTTGCAGTGCTGCAGTGCTACCTGGTGGCCACAGGGGGCGGTGTTGCAGTGCTACCTGGTGGCCACAGGGGGCGGTGTTGCAGTGCTGCAGTGCTACCTGGTGACCACAGGTGGTGGTGTTGCAGTGCTACCTGGTGGCCACAGGGGGTGGTGTTGCAGTGCTACCTGGTGGCCACAGGGGGCGGTGTTGCAGTGCTGCAGTGCTACCTGGTGACCACAGGTGGTGGTGTTGCAGTGCTACCTGGTGGCCACAGGGGGCGGTGTTGCACTGCTACCTGGTGGCCACAGGGGCGGTGTTGCAGTGCTACCTGGTGGCCACAGGGGGCGGTGTTGCAGTGCTACCTGGTGGCCACAGGGGGCGGTGTTGCAGTGCTACCTGGTGGCCACAGGGGGCGGTGTTTGCAGTGCTACCTGGTGGCCACAGGGGGCGGTGTTGCAGTGCTACCTGGTGACTACAGAGGATGGGGTTGCAGTGCTACCTGGTGGCCACAGGGGGTGGTGTTGCAGTTCTACCTGGTGACCACAAGGGGCAATGTTGCAGTGCTGCAGTGCTACCTGGTCGCCACAGGGGGCGGTGTTGCAGTGCTACCTGGTGGCCACAGGGGGCGGTGTTGCAGTGCTACCTGGTGGCCACAGGGAGCGGTGTTGCACTGCTACCTGGTGGCCACAGGGGGCGGTGTTGCAGTGCTACCTGGTGGCCACAGGGGCGGTGTTGCAGTGCTACCTGGTGGCCACAGGGGGCGGTGTTGCAGTGCTACCTGGTGGCCACAGGGAGCGGTGTTGCACTGCTACCTGGTGGCCACAGGGGGCGGTGTTGCAGTGCTACCTGGTGGCCACAGGGGGCGGTGTTGCAGTGCTACCTGGTGACTACAGTGGATGGGGTTGCAGTGCTACCTGGTGGCCACAGGGGGCGGTGTTGCAGTGCTACCTGGTGGCCACAGGGGGCGGTGTTGCAGTGCTACCTGGTGACTAGAGAGGATGGGGTTGCAGTGCTACCTGGTGGCCACAGGGGGTGGTGTTGCAGTTCTACCTGGTGACCACAAGGGGCAATGTTGCAGTGCTGCAGTGCTACCTGGTCGCCACAGGGGGCGGTGTTGCAGTGCTACCTGGTGGCCACAGGGGGGGTGTTGCAGTGCTACCTGGTGGCCACAGGAGCGGTGTTGCACTGCTACCTGGTGGCCACAGGGGGCGGTGTTGCAGTGCTACCTGGTGGCCACAGGGGGCGGTGTTGCAGTGCTACCTGGTGGCCACAGGGGGCGGTGTTGCAGTGCTACCTGGTGACTACAGTGGATGGGGTTGCAGTGCTACCTGGTGGCCACAGGGGGTGGTGTTGCAGTTCTACCTGGTGACCACAAGGGGCAATGTTGCAGTGCTGCAGTGCTACCTGGTGACCACAGGGGGCAATGTTGCAGTACTACCTGGTGGCCACAGGGGGCGGTGTTGCAGTGCTACCTGGTGGCCACAGGGGGTGGTGTTAGAGTTCTACCTGGTGACCACAAGGGGCAATGTTGCAGTGCTGCAGTGCTACCTGGTGACCACAGGGGTCAATGTTGCAGTGCTACCTGGTGGCCACAGGGGGCGGTGTTGCAGTGCTACCTGGTGGCCACAGGGGGCGGTGTTGCAGTGCTACCTGGTGGCTACAGGGGGCGGTGTTGCAGTGCTACCTGGTGGCCACAGGGGGCGGTGTTGCAGTGCTGCAGTGCTACCTGGTGACCACAGGTGGTGGTGTTGCAGTGCTACCTGGTGGCCACAGGGGGTGGTGTTGCAGTGCTACCTGGTGGCCACAGGGGGTGGTGATGCAGTTCTACCTGGTGACCACAAGGGGCAATGTTGCAGTGCTGCAGTGCTGCCTGGTGGCCACAGGGGGCGGTGTTGCAGTGCTACCTGGTGGCCACAGGGGGCGGTGTTGCAGTGCTACCTGGTGACTACAGAGGATGGGGTTGCAGTGCTACCTGGTGGCCACAGGGGGTGGTGTTGCAGTTCTACCTGGTGACCACAAGGGGCAATGTTGCAGTGCTGCAGTGCTACCTGGTGACCACAGGGGGCAATGTTGCAGTGCTACCTGGTGGCCACAGGGGGCGGTGTTGCAGTGCTACCTGGTGGCCACAGGGGGCGGTGTTGCAGTGCTACCTGGTGGCCACAGGGGGCGGTGTTGCAGTGCTACCTGGTGGCCACAGGGAGCGGTGTTGCACTGCTACCTGGTGGCCACAGGGGGCGGTGTTGCAGTGCTACCTGGTGACTACAGTGGATGGGGTTGCAGTGCTACCTGGTGACTACAGTGGATGGGGTTGCAGTGCTACCTGGTGGCCACAGGGGGCAATGTTGCAGTGCTGCAGTGCTACCTGGTGACCACAGGGGGCAATGTTGCAGTGCTACCTGGTGGCCACAGGGGGCGGTGTTGCAGTGCTACCTGGTGGCCACAGGGGGCGGTGTTGCAGTGCTACCTGGTGGCTACAGGGGGCGGTGTTGCAGTGCTACCTGGTGGCCACAGGGGGCGGTGTTGCAGTGCTGCAGTGCTACCTGGTGACCACAGGTGGTGGTGTTGCAGTGCTACCTGGTGGCCACAGGGGGTGGTGTTGCAGTGCTACCTGGTGGCCACAGGGGGTGGTGATGCAGTTCTACCTGGTGACCACAAGGGGCAATGTTGCAGTGCTGCAGTGCTGCCTGGTGGCCACAGGGGGCGGTGTTGCAGTGCTACCTGGTGGCCACAGGGGGCGGTGTTGCAGTGCTACCTGGTGACTACAGAGGATGGGGTTGCAGTGCTACCTGGTGGCCACAGGGGGTGGTGTTGCAGTTCTACCTGGTGACCACAAGGGGCAATGTTGCAGTGCTGCAGTGCTACCTGGTCACCACAGGGGGCAATGTTGCAGTGCTACCTGGTGGCCAGAGGGGGCGGTGTTGCAGTGCTACCTGGTGGCCACAGGGGGCGGTGTTGCAGTGCTACCTGGTGGCCACAGGGGGCGGTGTTGCAGTGCTACCTGGTGGCCACAGGGAGCGGTGTTGCACTGCTACCTGGTGGCCACAGGGGGCGGTGTTGCAGTGCTACCTGGTGACTACAGTGGATGGGGTTGCAGTGCTACCTGGTGGCCACAGGGGGCAATGTTGCAGTGCTGCAGTGCTACCTGGTGACCACAGGGGGCAATGTTGCAGTGCTACCTGGTGGCCACAGGGGGCGGTGTTGCAGTGCTACCTGGTGGCCACAGGGGGCGGTGTTGCAGTGCTACCTGGTGGCCACAGGGGGCGGTGTTGCAGTGCTGCAGTGCTACCTGGTGACCACAGGTGGTGGTGTTGCAGTGCTACCTGGTGGCCACAGGGGGTGGTGTTGCAGTGCTACCTGGTGGCCACAGGGGGTGGTGTTGCAGTTCTACCTGGTGACCACAAGGGGCAATGTTGCAGTGCTGCAGTGCTGCCTGGTGGCCACAGGGGGCGGTGTTGCAGTGCTACCTGGTGGCCACAGGGGGTGGTGTTGCAGTGCTACCTGGTGGCCACAGGGGGTGGTGTTGCAGTTCTACCTGGTGACCACAAGGGGCAATGTTGCAGTGCTGCAGTGCTACCTGGTGACCACAGGGGGCAATGTTGCAGTGCTACCTGGTGGCCACAGGGGGCGGTGTTGCAGTGCTACCTGGTGGCCACAGGGGGCGGTGTCTGAGGTAGTAGCGGACCTCAGGTCTCCGGGACCCCCAGGCGTTCAGCAGAGCCAGCAGCAACAGCTCCTGAGAGAGCGGACGCTCTGAGGAAGATAAGATGGCGTCACTCCCTGGAGGCAGCAGACTGATTCAGGTCCTGAGGTTGGATGTGGTTATTCTTATCGGTTCAGATGGACCCGATCAGAATAAATAAACGGGAAGGTTATTTCACATATAACAATAATTTTCTGTTATCAGTGAAATTATTTCCTGTTTTACCAATATTCAAGTTATTTACAGAAATGTGGCTTCTGAAAAGTTACAAAACATTTGCAGCAGAACCAGAAACACGACCTGGACCTGGACCCCTGACCCAAGCGACATGAGAGGAACGTCACACCGACTGCCATGTGTCTGAAGTTCTGGACCGGTCCTGGTTCCGACCCGGTTCCGCTCACCGTGTCCGTTCCAGACCTCGGCCAGGTGGCACTCGGACTCGCCCGCCTCCTTGCAGAACTCCACCACGTCGGTCACTCTGGTTGCCGTGGTAACAGGGACCTCGGTTAGCATCTGCTGGGTGTCGTTGAGGTAAACCGTCAGGATCAGCTGTAACCATGGGAACACAAGGCCAGGTCTGATTGGCTGATCAGCAACAGATAAGGGTTAGGGGTTAGGGTTAGGGTTTTTTTTTTTTTCATTATCGGATTATTGTGTGTCACATCACGTGACCTGTCTAATTGAACACACTTGTGTACAATAAAAGGGTGTGTCCTCCAAACAAAGGAAGAACAACACGAAAGCCAAACCGGTGCGAGTTTCTTGATGTCACGTTCAACGCTGTGCTGAAAACTGATTCTGCTAACAAATGCCATGACGTGCAAACACAGATTTCAAATGAGGAATCACATCTGCTGATCTTGTGGGACTCAGTTGTGCAATTTCCACAAATCTTGATGCATAATCCACAACCAAAATATAATTTTGTCCTTTCAAAGTAAACAGATCAGCCCCGAGTTTTTTCCATGGTCTGTCTGGATACTGTGATGGCATCAGTGGCTCCGTATGATTTTCCTTCTCTCTGTTGCAGGTGTGGCATTTTAGAACCAGTTCTTTTATCTGCTGGCTCAGTCCAGGCCACCACACCGACTGCTGTGCTCGTTCTCGACATTTCACTACTCCCTGATGTCCTTCATGTAATTTCATGAGCACATCATTTCTTATAGTTGAAGGAATGACCAGTCTTTCTCCTTTTAACAAAAGACCATTATTCACTGTAAGAAATGCCTTTTCAGCCCAATACAGTCTGAGTGCTGGTTCACTGTTGTAGTGTGTAGGCCATCCTTCCTCACACAACTGCATCACACGTGCACATATGCTGTCCCTTTTCAACTCCTGTCTCAGTTCTTCCAGATAACCAGGACTTGTAGGCAGGTTTTGCATCACACTATCCACAAAAATATCTGAGTCTTCAACCAACTTTGTTTCAGTTGCCGTTAAGTTTTCTGACATAGGGGCACGTGACAATGTGTCAGCTGTCCACAGATGTTTCCCTGGCACATACGAGATGGAATAGGAATATCTCATGAGACGCATTCTGAAACGCTGAATACGTGGCGGAAGAGCATCTAACATCTGACAGCTCAACAGACTCAGAAGTGGTTTATGATCAGTCTCCATTTGGAAATGTTTGCCAATGAGATAATTACTGAACCTTTCACAAGCCCAAGTAAGACTCAAAGCTTCTTTTTCCACCTGTGCGTATCTCTGCTCAGTCTGTGTTAGAGATCGCGACACGTATGCAACTGGTCTCTCCATTCCTGACCCCATTTTTGCAGCAGTACGCTCCCCAGACCATACGCAGACGCATCTGCTGAAACTTTACATTCCCGGTTAGTATCGTACATGCATAGCACTGGGGGGGATGAAAGCATCTCTTTCAGTTCTTTAAATGCTTTGGCCTGATCAACTCCCCACATCCAACAGTTTTTCTTCCATAAAAGATCCCTCAGAGGCTTGTCTCGTTCTGCTAACTGTGGAATAAACTTCCCCAGCTGGTTAACCATTCCAAGGAAGCTTCTTAGCTCACTCACATTTTGTGGCTCTTTCATCTTTCTCACAGCTTGTGTTTTACTTGGATCAGGACTAACTCCATTAACAGAGATAATGTGGCCCAAAAATTTTACACTCTGCTTTGAAAGATCACATTTATCAATGTTCAGTGTAATACCAGCTTCTTGAATTTTTCCAAGAACAGTATGCAGACGAACATCATGCTCTTCCTGTGTTCTCCCCCACACTAACACATCATCCATATGGCAAACCACACCATCTAGTCCCTCTGTAACCTCTGTTACCATTCTGTTCTGGAAATGCTCAGGGGCAGAAGCTATACCAAAGGGTAGCCGTTTAAATAATAACGACCAAAAGGTGTAATAAAAGTTGTATATTTTGCAGTATCTTCAGTTAAAGGAATCTGCCAGAACCCCATATTAGCATCTAATTTACTGAAAATATTTGCTCCTGCTAGCTTACCGAGTGTTTCATCTACAGAAGGAAGAATGTACTTCTCTCTGCAAACAGACTCGTTCAACTTTGTGAGGTCAACACATATGCGTACAGCACCTGTCTTTTTGGGAACAACCACCATTCCTGAACACCATTCAGTTGGCTCCTCAATTCTGCTGATCACACCCAAACTTTCCATACGGGACAGTTTGTTTAACTTTGTCCATCAAAGGAAGTGGAATCCTTCTGGGTGTCTTTAGTGAAAATGGTTGAGCTCCTGGTTTCAGTTTGATAACATAAGGCTGTCTCACCTCTCCCAAACCACTGCATAGCTTTGGATAGGTAGTTTTTAATGTTTCAGCAGTTATCTCATTTAATCTAGCTAGAAGCTCCAGCTTCTGAATGGCTGGTCTACCCAAAAGTGCAGTTTGCAGGTGTCTCATAATGTACACACTTTCCTGTACCTCTTTCTCTCCCTTTTTCATCACCATCTCAGCAACCCCCACAATATCTAGAGCATTCCTCCCTGGTCCCAGCAGCTGCCTGGTGGCTTTTTTCAGTAAAGAGGGACTCTTGTCTCTGTAGATGTCTTTGTACATGGAGTATGGCAGAACCGTAACATCAGCACCAGTGTCAATCTTGAATGAGATGTTTCTGTTATTTATTTCAACATCCACCCTCCAAGGTTCATCTCCATTTGAAATGCTGCCTAAAACAAAAAATCATCCTCTTCCTCAACTGCATGTCCCTTCAACCCTAAGGGACACAACCACAGGATAAAGCTAGTTCAGAATCCTGGAATGTGGATCAATAAATATTATTACCTATCATCATCCTGGTGAATGTTTACTGCCTTTGGGTCGAAGGGGGGACTTGTAACAAGTGCATCATTTGCCAACATAAGGAGGTAAACTGGAACCAATAATAACAATTAACTGTTTCCTGATCACAGATCCATAAACATTTATCCTTCAGTTATTAACCTCAATAAAGCTCTTCATTCTTTTTTCTGCCATTAAATGTTTCATGTAGATCTGAGGTTCGTTACCATAGCTACGTTCACAAGGACCTACCAAAATAAAAGCATACATGTCACGAGTAGTTAGCATAAAAGCTAATCCTAGCATTAGAAAACGTCTCTTTACCGTTTCCTCTCTGCTATTGGACAGGAAACAGGAAGTCAAGCTCTCTTACCGTTTCCTCTCTGCTATTGGACAGGAAACAGGAAGTCAAGCTCTCTTACCGTTTCCTCTCTGCTATTGGACAGGAAACAGGAAGTCAAGCTCTCTTACCGTTTCCTCTCTGCTATTGGACAGGAAACAGGAAGTCAAGCTCTCTTACCGTTTCCTCTCTGCTATTGGACAGGAAACAGGAAGTCAAGCTCTCTTACCGTTTCCTCTCTGCTATTGGACAGGAAACAGGAAGTCAAGCTCTCTTACCGTTTCCTCTCTGCTATTGGACAGGAAACAGGAAGTCAAGCTCTCTTACCGTTTCCTCTCTGCTATTGGACAGGAAACAGGAAGTCAAGCTCTCTTACCGTTTCCTCTCTGCTATTGGACAGGAAACAGGAAGTCAAGCTCTCTTACCGTTTCCTCTCTGCTATTGGACAGGAAACAGGAAGTCAAGCTCTCTTACCGTTTCCTCTCTGCTATTGGACAGGAAACAGGAAGTCAAGCTCTCTTACCGTTTCCTCTCTGCTATTGGACAGGAAACAGGAAGTCAAGCTCTCTTACCGTTTCCTCTCTGCTATTGGACAGGAAACAGGAAGTCAAGCTCTCTTACCGTTTCCTCTCTGCTATTGGACAGGAAACAGGAAGTCAAGCTCTCTTACCGTTTCCTCTCTGCTATTGGACAGGAAACAGGAAGTCAAGCCGCTCTTACAGTAAACAAAGAGTTTCCTCTTGGCTGCCGTCGTCATATCAACCACTGAGTCAGCACCACCAAGCAGGAAGTTCTGGACAGATGGGAACTATGTTGGCATCATGTCCTTAGAGACAGTAAAAACCCTGTGATGTCACAGTGATGATGTCACAGTGATGATGTCACAGTGGATCAGCGCTCCACTGATAAATCCAAGATAATCTGAGATGAGAAATCAAACATCCATGGACGGACACACAGAGACAGCAGACAGCGTCCCCCGAGTCCTGGAGGAAACTCTGGGTTCATTCCCAGTCAGGAAGCAGCTTTAACTGGGAGAACTGGTGGAGCTGCTGGGAAAACGTTTCAACTTTTAATGAAAAGATTGAAGTTTGAAGAAAGCGATACTAAGAAATGACAAAAAGAGTTTTCTGCTTAATGTGCTGATGGTCCGAATGTGAGGCATAATGGAGCCACAAACGGGCCCCAGACCCACTTTGGACCCTTCTGGTCGAATTTAAGTTCATTCTGTGGTGATTGAGATGGAAGGAATGCTCCTTTAATCATTAAAAATAGTATTCAACGAAGAGCCACAGCCGCCCACAGGTTGAGACACCCTGGGCGGTGTGCCACACTGGGCACCAGAACCCGGACACCTGCTGGTACCAGAGGCCGGGACCGTGGGGGCCACAGAACTCAATAAGCAGATGCAGAGACTCTGGTTCTGGTCCAGAAGCACCGGGTCTACCGGCCGTTAGTTCCCGTTAGTTCCCGTTACTTCCCGTTAGTTCCCGTCGGCGTCGGTCAGAACCGAAGGGGAAACTTACCGGTAACATTTCTGCCGCTGCGGTGGGAAGCAGTTCCTCCTCCTCGGTTCCAGACTACTTTTACCGCGTCCAGTTTGGCTCCCGAACCGACCCAGAACCCAAACCCTCCCTCCCTTCCTTCCTTCCGGAACCGCTCCAGCTTCACTGACCGGAGGAATGACCCAGTTCGGTGTTCCGAACCCACCGCAGCCGCAGGACCGTCTGGGCCTAAACCGGTCGGGGTTCCGAACGCGCCTCTTCTTCCTCCCCAAGAGGAAGGCAGCAGAAACCCAGAGAAGTATCGATCGCGGATCGATGATGCTGATCAGCGCGCCCTCTGCAGGCAGAGCCAGCAGCTGCAGCTCCAATGGAAGCTTTCAGCTCCAGGTTCTGGTCCCTCAAGTTCCGGTCCTGCTGACAACATGGAGACTTCAGCGCTGCAAGCAGGGCGGCGCTGCTGCCAAGCAGCTTGACCTGCTGGTTCTGACCCATCAGAACCGTTCTGGACCTGGTTCTGGGATGATGGATGTGTTCAGCCGCTTATGATCCTCAGTGTCGCCCTCTGGTGTTCACTGGAGGCCATAACAGCGACAACCAGCGCCAGGGGTTTTACCCAGCAAGCTAACTATTTAGCGTCAAACTAAATCCTTCCCGCGTCATAACACTCGATTAAAATCTCGTTTGCAGCTCAGTCTGGCTTTCCTCCCATTGACTGGGATTATCAACGGGAGGGTTTTGGGTCTGAAGCCTGCTTGTTGCCTCCATGTTGGGAGAGGAATTGCACCAACAGTTCAGTTGGTTTTGGCCTCCAGATACTGAGTAAAACCAACAGCTGCGTGATTCATGTTTTTTTAAAGAATTCTCTTTAATTATTTAAGAAATAAATTGTTACAATTCTACTTTTATGAATCAATATACTATGATGCTACATTATGGTCCAGACCATAATGTAGCCTGACCACCGCTGACGCCAACACCTCAGAGGATGACCTTTGACCTTCCGCTGGTTGCACTTACTGAAGATTCTGCAGTAGGAGCGACCCCTGGAGCAAATCTTGAACCATGACCTCTGACCTTAGCTGAGGCCTGAAGACGTTCTGGTTCTTCTGGACCTGCTGGATCGGTTCTGCAGAACTTCAGAGAAGGTTCTGAATGCTGTTTCTCATCTGATCCAGAACCCGACTGGATCGGAAGAACCCGGCTGGCCGGGTTCTTCGGGCCTCTGGGTCGGGTCGAACATGGCTGCCGTTTCTGGATCGTTAGCCATATTTTCAGTCAGAAACTGAATCCTAAATATTTTGTTTGTAACTTTATTTTGAAGGTCAATATTAAATTTCTTTCCAATGCGGTGTCAGCTGATTGGTTGTGGTGACCTGAGGGCGGGTTCTGGAGGTTCTGGACGGATCACTAGAAAAGTTACAGCATAAACAACTTTATTCAACATTTCTTTTTTATTCTGGATCAGAACCAGAGGAATGAGAAGGGGTCAAAGGTCAAACTGAGCAGCAGGAGGGCTGTAGGAGCAGACAGAGGCTGGTGGAGACCTGTGAGGACGAATAGATCAGAACCAGCAGAACCGGGTCTGAACTGCATGAGGAATGAATCAAAACTGGTTTCCAGAAAGAGGGTTCTGCCGACCCGGTTCCGTTGGGCCTACTGCAGGCAGCAGCTCTGGCCGTTGGCGTCCTTGGAGCGCAGGCAGAGTTTGGGTCGGTAGTTCTCCAGGAAGTGCAGCTGCTTGGCGTTCAGCGCACCGCGCCGCTTCCTGTCACACATAGAGAAGAAGATCCGGTCAGAACCGGACCAGCAGCAGAACCGGCACCAACAGCAGAATCCTTACTGTCTGATGAGGTGGACCGCGTCTTCGTACTCCATCCCACACTCGATCAGCGCCAGAGCCACCAGAACCGGAGCGCTGGGGAGACACAGCCGGGTCAGTTCAGAACCTTTAAGAGAACCTCCGTCAGGTCCGGGTTCAGCTGAAACAGGTCTGTGGCCTGGTTCTGGTTCTTTAGCTGGCCCGTCTGTCTGAGCGCGTTCTGACTCTGTCGCTCAGTGCAGCTGCAGCAGTCAGTGTTTCAGCGTTCCTTCGTGGCTTTAACGTTTTACTTTTTAACGTTTCCTTTTCTTCACTTTTCTGATTGATTTTGTTCAGGATTAATTTTCATGTTATAGTTTGATGTTTTTCACAACTACTGATTATGTATCTCCATGCAGATCTGTGGGTTTCCATGGTGACTTTACTGACCGGCCCAGTCCGGCCACGCAGTGGACCGCCACGCAGCCGCCCGGCTCCTCCCTGAACTTCACCTGCAGCAGGTTCAGCCAATCGTCCACCACCTGCTCCGGAGGGGCGGAGCCATCATCGAACGGCCAATCCTGCGGAGACAAACGGTTCAGGAGGAGGAAGGCCGACCCGGTCGGCGCCACCGCAGGATCTGTCGGGTCTCACCAGAACCTGGATGCCCTCCTGACCCAGCGGCGCCCGGTCATACGTGGCAGAGCAGACCCGCACCAGGGTGGTGACGCCATATGCCTTCAGCTCCTGCAGGAGGACAGAGCGAGTCAGAACCGAAACCAGAACCAGGAACAGAATAGGCCGGGTCAGTACCTCGATGAACTTCCCCAGCTGAGCGTCGGTGGGGTTGTGCGTGATGAGAAAACGCAGACAGTCGTAGGAAATCTCCACTGGCGCCGGGCGGTTCATCTTCACTGTCTGGACCGACTAGCTGCTAGCAGCGGATCAAACCAGCCACCGGATCAGAACCAGCAGGACGGTCAGCGGTTGGCAACAGGGGCTGGCCGTTGGATCGGCCTCTTCCTCTAAAGAGAAGGAGCAGCGAGGATCGGCTGGCACCAGAAGCTCCGCCTCCAGAACACGGCACAGGCTGACGATTGGCTCGTCTTCATACGTCTTCAACAGGACGGCGGGTCGGACCTGAACACAACTCGCTCATTAGTTATCACCCATGATGCATTGCAGCCGCAGTGGCGAGTCACCGACCTGGGAGAGACGCCGCGTCGTCCTCTTCACTTGTCCACGATGAGCAGCAGGTGCTGAGCTTGGCAGAACGCTCCTCCCAGCCTCGCAAACGCCATGCAGGTGCAGCCTGCAGGACAGCAACGTCAGCTAGCGTCAGCTAGCGTCAGCTAGCAGCCACCCGGCTGCTAGCCGCAAACACTCACCGTGATGCCAGCTGATTAGGTCAGAGGTCATTGAGCGGACACAGCAGAAGGTGACGGCTCTCGGATGTAAACACACCATTGATGATGCTGCTGCGGTTCTGGCTGACTCGACCCAGCGCTGACCTGCCGCACAGAACAGGAGCGGTTAGGGGAGAGCGACCAAAACCCAGGGAGGGTTCTCTAGAACCCGGTTCCTCTGAGCCGTTCCTCAACATGGGGAAGACAGGAAAACATAGCTGTTTGCTGAACAGGCCTGGATTCTGGTACCAGCAGTGGTACCAGTTACTACGTCTTCACTGGTTCAGGACACCATGACTGTTTCCAGTAAAGAAAAGCAGAGTGAGGTTCTGATGGCGTTTGGAACACTGAATTAAAATAAACCGTTTAAATTAGCGCAGCAGCGGATCGAACTGATGGGCTCATCCAGGAAAATGGTCTCTGCTGCTGAGACGATAGTGGCAGCCTGCAGTCAGAGGACTCTTCAGGTTCGTTGGATGCCTGACTGCTACTGGAGGCCCTTCCTAGCTACAGCATCAACATCCACAACAGCTCTCGGATCATTTGACTTCCTGAAACCTTCCAGGAGAAAAAACACACATTTTTAGTTGAATAAAATTCAATTTCTGAATTTAATGTCCCCTCTCTTAGTGCTTATGGAACATATTTTCTGCCAGAAATTATTTTAATTTAACTTTATTTTTACCAAAATATTTTTGAGCTTTTCCACTTTGGAAATACAATCATGTAACAATCTGAGCACGTTTTCTTTGTAATTATTAGATGTTGGTAATTATTCTTTCTCATATCAGACAAATGAAAAAGAAAGAAAGATAGAAAATAGGTTAGGGCCAACAGCAGGTTGGGGCCATTAGCAGGTTGGGGCCAATAGCAGGTTGGGGCCATTAGCAGGTTGGGGCCATTAGCAGGTTGGGGCCAATAGCAGGTTGGGGCCAATAGCAGGTTGGGGCCATTAGCAGGTTGGGGCCAATAGCAGGTTGGGGCCAATAGCAGGTTGGGGCCAATAGCAGGTTGGGGCCTCTCCTCCGCCTCTCTTTGCCTTATTTACCATTTAAGTGCCGCACAATTAATGATTATTATGTTCCATTTTTGAAGACGAAGATAAAATAATGCCATAACTTCAGTTTAGCTCTTCCGTTATTCATAAAGTCCAAAGAAGTTACAGAAATATGCTACAAGTTCAGCCAGTTGGTTTCTAACCGGCACCGGGAGTCCCGGAGAACCGGCACCGGGAGTCCCGGAGAACCGGCACCGGGAGAACCGGCACCGGGAGAACCGGCACCGGGAGTCCCGGAGAACCGGCACCGGGAGTCCCGGAGAACCGGCACCGGGAGTCCCGGAGAACCGGCACCGGGAGTCCCGGAGAACCGGCACCGGGAGTCCCGGAGAACCGGCACCGGGAGTCCCGGAGAACCGGCACCGGGAGTCCCGGAGAACCGGCACCGGGAGTCCCGGAGAACCGGGAGCGGAGGTGACCTTGTTACCGCGGCCACCGGAGGACACGCAACACCTGCCGGCGCTGCGACTCACCGAAAACACGTCAACACCGGAAATACTCACCCACGGCGGAGGGTCCACGGAGAAAAGGCCCACGCTACTGACACAGGCTCCTCTGCGAGGGAGACATGTTGGACAGGGACATAAGAGGAGCAGAACAACGACTTCCGCTTGCTTCCTTTCCAAAATAAAAGTCACCGGTTTTCCCCGGTTTCGGACTCGTTCGTCAACAAGGCCGCTGCTTCCGGTCAGCAACATGGAATCATGACGTAGGTCGTCACGCACTTTGTTAACTTTGCGGTTAAGCAGGTTAATGAGTTTTACACGGACCGCAGCTGCTTTAAATACACTTTGAAACCATAACAATGCATGTTTACCAATGCATTGGTAAACATGCATTGTCACTTATTTTCGTCATAACTCGTCACGTATCCTGCACTTCAGCTCCTCTGACGGTCGGATTGCTTCATGCGCATGCGCACTCATTGCACGTATGATCTGATAATTGATCATTTGATAGACCACCGCCATATTGGAGAGGATCAACTTCCACCAGGTTACACCTGAGAACAGCAGGGAATTTCAGGCTCATCCAGAACTTTGTCATCAAAACGTTTTGGGCTTTTTTGTAATCAAAAGCTAACAGTTTTTACACATTAACCAGCATGTATTCATCTTTCAATTTCAACTCTGTTGTGTTTGCTTACAAATGTTACTTCAAGCCACTTTGGTAATGAGGAAGTAACAATATGAACATCAGCGCAGCGTGATATTGCGGCTACATTTACTGTCAACATGAACGTTAAAGTCCCCACTAAAATGACCTGAACAGTATTTAACACTAAAAGGGAAAAGAAATCAGAGATCCA